CCGATCTTCCTAAGTCCTGTTCTTCGTTCGGTGGAGGAAAGACAATACCGGAAAAGCATCAAGTTCCGTGACGGCTGCAAACAGGCGGTTGACATAAAACGGCTCTTGTTAGCGCCACCCTCCAGAGTTAGTCACGACAGGTCAACCAATCACCTCTGGTACTTAAGATGACTTGACCTTGACCTGCCGTGTGCCTTCTGCGCGACATGCACGCCTCTGGAGGGATTTGGAGAAAAGATGAGTACAGTTATATTGAATTAGTATTTTATATGGAAGTCAAATACTACATTGTTTTGACTACTTTTATGACAAATAATTTCACATTTATCGCTACTTTATTCAGGTAACAAGCATCTTACATTTCTCTGATACCATTATTTTAACATTATAAAATTCATGTTTGCTCTTTCTAAAGAAGTATGTAAGATTTCCCATAAAAAAAGCCTCTGGCGAACGGTTGTTGCAGAGCTTACAAAAACCCTTAAATTTGTTGATAAGCTTAATAATGTATTTGTAAAAATCACTATTTATAGTCCGATTGAAAAACTTGATGTTTCACCAGGACATTGCAATAGAGTATACTTATAGTTCTTTGGAAAAAATGTTAACTGCATTTTATTTCATTCCCAACATATTTAAAATGGGCTCAATATGGTACCAAAAGTTATCAAATAAATGACTGACAGAACGGGATATTTTTCGCAGCATCTTTTAATTTTAGGGATACACAGTTTCTGTACTTGATTTTTTGAACGGTGGCATAAAAGTGACATTTGCATTTTTTGGATACTTCTTTTTTTTTCGTACATATTTTTTTTTGTATGTCGTACATATTTTTTTTAGTTTTGAATACATACGTTTATTAGTTTTGCATACGTATTCTTTTATAGTTTGCATACATATTCTATTTTAGGTTTTTGTACATATTTTATTTTAGTTTTTTGTACATATTTTTTTTCGTACATATTTGTACATGACGCCATTTGTAAAGTAGAGGTTTGGATAATTACGCCATTTGTACATCATTTTCAAACTCTTCGCCATCTGGTAATTATAGTACCCCATTTGCAAATGGACCAAAATTTCTTTTTTAGGGTTTTAAAAAAATTAAAAAACAAATTTTTATTAAAAAATATATTTTTTGCATTTTGGGCTCGATTTTGGGTTAAAATTTACACAAGGTTTCCTTTTAAAAACCCTTCATGGGGGTTTAAAGGGGAAAAGAAACCCAAATTTTAAACCTTTTTATATCTGTAGGTGGACCCCCACCTTTAGGCCCGGGACACCTGGCAAAATAAGTTCTGCACCATTATCCCGGATGTGCTAAAGAATTTAAACCCCAAAATTTTAATTAAAAAACCTTCAAAAGCTTTAAAACCCTTTTTTCAAACAGTGGGGGAATTTTTAAGGGGCCTATTTTTGATCATTTTTAATACACCAGGATTTTTTTAAAACCTCCCCTTTCCCCCGGAGGAATGCCCGGGTTTTAAAAAGAAAACGTGTTTAATGTTTTGGGGCCGTCCCGGGGGCAATAAGGCAGGAATGTCATGATCTGAGTATCCCCCGCAGGGCGAAGATTTTACCAGTGGTCGGCTTGGTTTATGGGTGGGGTTGAGTGGTGCGTCTTCATGGAATAATAACTGATCACCAATCAATTGCCCTTTCCAAAAAGACACTAATATTATAGTATATAATAATAAAAAAAACCGATAATTATATAAGATACATAATTTTTATAATTTAAAAATTGGGCCGAAAAGGGTTGGCCGAAATCATCTTTGCCCTGCCGAAAACGACAGGGCCGATCCCAAAAATGGTCCGAAATGTGTCCAAACCACTCAACTATGGGCTGTTATGAGATGTGAAGGCTGTTTTGATTGGCTAAAATATGTTCGAAAAACAAAAATAAAATATGTGCGAAAAACTAAAATAAAATATGTATGCAAAACTAAAAAACAATATGTATACAAAACTAAAAAAAATATGTATGCAAAACTAAAATGAAATATGTATGAAAACTAAAAACAAAAAACATGCAAATATCTTTATTATGCCAACGTAATTTTGTTATATGAACACAATTTTTAGATATTTCAAGTGGTAAAATTAATGAAACTTTTATCACTTAAAGCATCATAAAGTATTGACCGCCATCTTGAACTCCACCTCAAATATTTCAATGTTGCAGATCGAAAATAAGTCAGTACTCAGTATTTAAGCAGAACTCAGATAACACCTTTAGACCCCTGAACCCAAAGTGCGTTGATATGTAGCATATTAACGCACTTTGGGGTCAATTTCTCGATTTTGACCCCAAAGTGCGTTGGACCCCAAAGTGCGGTGCGAAGTTTAACGCACTTTGGGGTCGGACCCCAAAGTGCGTTTGACCCCAAAGTGCGGTGTTACAGGGCATCATGTCACTTCAACTGGAGTGTGACGTAGATGCCTGGCTGAGTATAATAGCTCTCCCTATTCTTCAAATAGTCGACATCAAAATAAATGCTTAATAAGTGTACACAGTTCTCTATAAGGAAATATAAACACTTCAGAACTAACACTTGTTTTAGTAAACAAGTAACAAATCATGTTGGGGATACTGAGTGGTACTTTTGTTTCGAGTTTTGTCAATATTTCTAGCGTAGAGACGGAAACTTCTATGCTACCTTAATTAATGACAAGGATTATCATCTCAGCGGGGGTGAATGTAATTAGATAATCAACTCGGTCGAGTGCAAGAGTTATTGGTCATTTAATGATAGAGTATTGAGAAAATGTCAACAAACTCGGAAACCAATTTCCAATTTCAATTTTATTGAATACAAACATATATACCAGTCCAAATTAAAGACCATACCTGAATTAAACGTGTCAGAATTTGAATACAAATAAGCCGTAACATATACACATATATTTTTCTAAAAATATATTTAAGAAATAACAACAAGTTTCATAATTTCAGTACCGCAGTTAATTAAATTACAGGTCTATACAATACTATATATAATATATATAGTCTAGTATTGTAAAGATCTGTAATTTAATTTAGTACGAGATCTATATATTAATTTTATCGTTTTCAAAAATTGGAAATGAATCACTGTGAATGAATTTGGTAATAACATATCTTTTATAAAACAAAATAAACAGTCTGGTCGCTAAAGTGCTATAGAAACCCTTTTCGTCTTTGATCGTTTGATTTGAACGGAATAAAGAAAAGCCTAACTTACGGTAAGATTCATATAATATTTGGTAAAATAATCCTCCATCAAATATTCGTTCATTTTCGGCCTCAAACCTAACGACATATTTCCTACTCAGTATGATTTTGTCTACTGATTACTGGCAGTTGATCTACTTTTTAATTATCATTCTAATAAAGTATTAAAGTAAACATGTTTACACATATATCAGAATTAAATGATTAAAAGTCATCGTGTTGTCGTATTAAGGATATAGGTGAAAAGGATTAAAATTAAAATTACATTATCAAGACTTGAAGTGGTGGTTTAGAGTATATTTTAATCTACATGTATTTGGTGTGTCCGTAAACAAGGACAAAACATTTCGGACATAAAACTGACTGTGTATATTAACGAAGTTCATATTTATATTAAAGGGAGACACAGGCAAAATTTTCATTTCTTCTTTATGAAATTTTCATTTCTTCTTTATGAAATTTTCATTCATCATTCTGTAAATGTTCTCAAAATAAAAACACTAGGCAGTCACAGGAACAAAACTTTTCTCCTTAGAAAGAATAATATCATAATGGTGGTTTCCATACTTGACCCATGTGGGTCAGTTTAGAGCGTTAATATTTCACAGAGGTTGTTACAGTGTTCAAACCCAAAATATATAGAATTTATACAGAAATTCATGCTGAGACTTTAAAAAAAATAAATGTCAATTTAGCGTGATTTGAGTACATTAGATCATTTCAATATTTTTACCTAATAAGGATAGAGGGAATTTAGGGTTTTTTCTTCTATTTTACATTAATGAAACATTGGCTACAGGGACTCCAAATGTTGCTGTTTGGTCACAAAACCGAATAGAAACGCAGATCACAGCTTTGGATTCAAATCTGATTCAAACTTTAAATTATTTCATGATAAAAACGTTTTTTTTGGAAGTATTGAATCTACAGCTCTAATTGTGTCTGAAATAATGCACGTAGGTACGCTTAGAGAAAATCTGTAAAGTCCAGTAAAAGGACTTTCTGGGTTGGTTGCACAAAGACAGTATATGTCATTACACAAATATACAGCAAACATTAAATATAGACATGAGAGTGAATATACAAACATTCAAATTTAACCTTTCGTATTATCAGCCATATACAATATTCATGTTTTCCCTTCTGATATTGAATAATTAATTACAAAACATTTCTAATTTATTCAAAGTATAATCTTCTGTCCCAGATATTACATATATGTACAAGATCAAGATTAAGGAAAACTGTTGTCGAGTCATAACATCATTACATTACACTTTACTTTACATAACACTTTGCTGTACATAACTCATTGCTTACATAACACATTCCTTTACATTTTATTTAAGTTTACATTTTACCTTATATTTTAATTAATTTACACCCTTCTTTTCTTTATTTCACTAATATGTTCTTATAACTTTAATCAAACCGGTCTCTAAATTGAAAGAATGCACGGAATAATGGACAAACTCTACTTTAAAAGCACTGAAATATCCTGTTAAACTGGGCACGTTCTGTTTAATTATATTTAAAAAAATGACAAAGAAGATCTTTTACAAAAAGATGTAAACCATTTGAAAATAACACTTTTTTACATATTTATATAACACTTCACCAATTTTCATGTTCAACATTTTAATTCATAAACTAAATGTATCTGTACACTTGTGCGTTTAGTGGATATTTATATAATTGTAACCCGAGACCAAATGATGTGACCAGATGTTACGCATGACATTCCGTAATACATACGTAATCCGTACACCGATATCTTGTATTGAATACACTCGATTTAAATACAGACTGTAACATATTGCTCATATTCACATATCAAAACTGCTTTAAGATCGTTATTTAAAATGGCGTCATTCGATTTCAAAGAGAAGAAATATTTAGTTACCGGCGCCGGAAGAGGAATTGGGCGCGCGATTGCAAAAGCTCTCGTTGCCAAAGGATGTAAAGTGTATGCTTTAAATCGATCTAAGGAACCATTGGATACGTTAGTGTCAGAACATCCAGAAATAGTTCCAATTGTTGCGGATGTACGAGACTGGGAGGATATCCGCCGGAAGCTTGATGGCGTTGATACATTAGACGGATTAATTAACAACGCTGTAACGTATCCCCCACGAGAACTTCCAGCGCTTCAATGGGATCAGGCTAATTTACAGGACTCAATTGACGGTAACATTTTAGGGCCAATAAATGTTCTTCAGATTGTCGCTCAGAAAATGGTTGCCTCCGAAAGACCCGGATCTATTGTGAATATATCCAGTGTAGCCTCATTACAAGCTATTCCAGGCCGGTTACCATACTGTATGACCAAAGCCGCCCTTGATATGATCACCAAGCAATTCGCCCTGGAACTTGGACCATACAATATACGTGTTAATTCGATCAACCCAACCCTTGTACTTACAGAGAACATTCAAAGTTTGATTGACAGTGGTATACCGGTTCCAGACATGTATATACCAAAGACACCGATGAAACGTGTGGCTAAAATGGAAGAAATTGTTTCTCCTGTTTTATATTTACTATCGGATATGTCGTCAATGGTGACCGGAACATTACAGGTAATAGACGGTGGTATCATGGCAACATTTGCTACAAAAACCAGCGGTTAATATCAAAACATCCGCGTCTTGAAAATATACCTTTTACTTATAGCTGAAACTACGTCACGTCACGTTACGTCATGTTAAATAATTAACAATATTGTGTTGCTTCCTACAATGACTGTTCGTTATCTATAACATGAATGGAAATTGTCGGACTTTGCCGGACTTTCACGAGATAATGATTGGAGCATTGCCATATTAATATCAAATATTTCTAATCAAAAGGATTTAATATTTTAAAAAAAAAATGGAATACGTGTATATGTTTTTATTATTTTTTTACCTGATGGATACATAATTTTATTTAAAAATATTGGAGTAAACTTACCCCATGGGTGATGGTTTCTGCAGAGTTAGATACCCGGTGTATTAAAGGCACACTATGCCTCAGAAATGGATAAATATTTGCTTCTTTAGAAAGCTCAAACATGAGTTTTTTTTATAACGTTAAATATTAGTTTAAAGAGCATATTAAAAGCTTGTTACCTGAAGAAAGTAACACTAAATGTAAAATAATGTATCATAAAAGTAGCGAAATGTAAAGTTTACAAAGAAGCATTTTGGTTTCCATACAAAATACTAAATCACTATAGATGCAATAATTGTAAGAAGACTGTTCAGGTAATTTGCCAAGGTGTAACTTGTTTGAAACAATAAAAGAATACAAAAAAATAAATAAATAAAGATCTCGAGAAATAAAAATGAAGCATTTCTGGGGCATAATGGGCCTTTAAGATAATCATATGATTGTTGTAAGAATTGTCAAAAATTATCCGTGCGCTTTGTTTAATTAGAACATTCTTATTAGTTGAAAACATATTTTTTTTTTAATATTTGTTAACATGAATATGAAAATATAACATAAATCTTAAGTGCAAATATTGTTTATGATTAATTTGACATGAACACAACTGCGTAATAATTTGTTAATATCAATCATTCAGACTCAAACATTTTGTTTGTGACAATGTTCATGTAAATAAATGTTAATAATGTTTATGTTCAGAACATCACAAGGGGGATATGACAATCTTACGAGATTTTGAAATAGATCGTGCAGGACAGCTGCATGTTTGCGGCTATATTCTGTTTTTTGTGCAAATCTCTGTTTAATTCAAGCGTAACAGAGATGTTTGCGTTGTTTAAACTAATTCTAGCAGTACATTTGCATTGAAAATCAGTTTTTTTTATTAACTAATCATTACATTACATTAACTAAGTACGATCAGTGGCTAATTTACTTCGTCTCATCGCCAATGTGCACACATAAAGACATTATAGTTATGTTTAATAATAATTGCTCATTTGTGCCATTCATGTTTTCGCCTTGCGACCCAAGTCGAAAATTAAGATAAAATTGCGGGTTAACAAGGGCGCGGGCAAATCTAATAAATGAAACTTCGCCCGGCACCTCCGCTTATTAGTGCTTTCGCTCCGCGCCCCGCCGTTTTATTTCTTAAATCTCGCTCCGCGCCCCTGTGGGGCGAAGTTTTATTTATTAAAGTTCGCACCTCGTCGCGCTTATACGCGTGTTTTTTGCTTCGCGCCCCGCCATTTCAAAGAATCAGGCATGATTTTAGCATAATTATATTCGCTTCTTTTTTTCGTTTTCATTGGCATGGTTTTCCTATGAGGTCTCGGGAACATTAATATCTTACTGATATGACCAAATTTATACAGATACATACATTTGTATTTCTGCATGTAAAGAGCACAAAAGAATACACTACGAAAGAAAACACATCATACTGACTGTGTACCGTCGCCTATTTATACTCGATATAAAAATCGTTCAGCGGTAAATTCTCTCTAATTTTTCCTTTGATCAGTATATTTACATTATAATACAGTATATTCAGTATATATTTCAGTATAGGAAACCAGCAGCATTATGTCTAAAGGAGAATACTGTTAATAGCACTAAACTATAAGTTTATCATATTTACCTCCCTTATGTTTGAAAAAACGCTATTTTTTCATTATATGAAAGGGAGTGCAATAATATTAATCATGATTTATCTCCCTTACATTTGAAAAAGACCATCAACTGGCACTATAGTCTAGATAAAATCAGAAATTAGTTTTACTGATAACAACGTATCATGAACGTAAATTTTTAAGGAGGAGTTTAAAAAATTCACAGCCTAAAAGAGGCTTAAAGAAAAAAAAAGACAATACTACAGACTTTATACATACAGGTGTTATTTATAACACAGGTTCGACCGAGGAAATGCCGTAATAAGATATTTCTACAGGGAAGAAATCAGAGTAAAATCATTCATTATGCACCTAATTTGTGAATGTTTAATTATGCGTTAAACAGATATCATTCAGTTAGGTGTTAGATGTCACACTCCCGACTTAAAATCGGTGCCGTGACCAGGTGACCCGAACTATGATTTTGTATAGGAATATGCCATTGTTTTGTTTAAATGTCAAAACAGAAAAATAAGATACACTTTGGGTACAACTTAACTTTGTTTACGTCAATCATGGCAGCAAAAAAGGAAAACATTTTAAAAAATGTTATCATTTTTGTTACTTCTCTTTTAACAATCAAAGTGTTTTTAAGTTAGGCAATGGTGTAATAAGGCCCACTATTTGGATACTACGACACGTATGGAACTAAATTAGCTGTAAGTATGTGAAATGTAAGAATAATATAAGCAAACTTCTTAAATTAAGTGCTAAATGGTAATACATGTATAGAAATATAATGGTAATATATAATATGAGCATTTGTCAGGTTTTACAACTTAAAAATGGTGAAAATTGTTAGAAAATAAAATAATTAGTAGGTAGGTTAAGTTTTACCATTGGAAAAAACATATCCCAAAATAAAAAACAGTAGATAGGAATGTTCTTTTATTTTACTTGACATTTTATGCTGACACAAGTGTTTACAAATTTGAGAGAAAAACGAAGGAATCGCCATCCCTGGTATCGCATTTGCGCATGTTTTATTTCATAAAGCTTCTTTCTCAATGATGTGATTAAATGTAGATATGTCAAAACTATTATTATATCTGGTTTGAATTTAAGTAAGGGTAGCCGGAAACAAATAACTGACATTTCTTAATGCAAGCTTCGTTAAATATAAGAAAACTTATTCTAGTCATCCCTTAAGTCCATACACTGATTTAACTAGGATTGTTTTGGTTAAATAAATTAACTTTGTCCTTGACCTCTAACCGGCTGATTTTTCTAAATGGACGTGAACAGCTTCTCATTTTTGGAACAGTACTTCACCGATTTTGGGGATGTCGAGATGAAAATTTGAAATTGGTTAGCCAACAGTATAGAGCCTAGTCAGACTGCACGGATGTACAGGCCGGCCTGGCTCTATACCGGTGGCAGTCTAAGTTCGGTTCCAGCAAGGTAAATGAGGAAATGTTTCCGGAATGTGTTTTGAAGCGTGACAGATAAAAAAGTACATGTTCACCTACGTCCACTTGATTTAATTTTAGTCTTTCGAAGAAGAAAATCGTTGTAATAAATATTTGGAATGGATTAGTGAATGTCTTGCAGTTAAAGCATTTAATCCGCAAACAATCCCATAACAGTCACACTATTTCAGCCGTTGTTAAGCCCAGTTTACTGACATACACTGCGGCACCGTAGGTATATTTTGTATATATTGTGTAAACTGGATATCATGTAAGTCGCACTTACAAAACAACAAATGCGTTTAGCTTATCAACATGGATATAAAAACCTTAAAATAAATCAGGCTACGAAGAATGAAATATGAATATTGGTTTTGAAGGAACTCCACCGAGGTTCAAAAGCCTAAAAACACAAAATTATAATCTCTTACATTGATCAATCAGGGCACTTACAACAGGAAGATAGGCAAAATCTGAAGGGTTCCGTACTTTCAGTGTCTGAAAAGGCGGATGGACCCCCATTATGCATAATATAGAAGAAGTTCATTAAGAAATATTTGAAAAATCTATTTTGTGCTCATCTTAGCCCGATTTAAAAGGAAAGCGTTGCAACGCTTTTCAATGTTGGTCTTTTTGATACTGTTGTTGTTGTTGTTGATGATGATGATGATGATAATATTTTTGTTGTTGATGATGATGATGTTGTTGTTGTTGTTGATGATGATGATTTTGTTGTTATTGATGTTGGTGATGTCGTTGTTGTTGATGTTGTTGTTCTTGTTGTCGATGATGATGATTGTGTGATGTTGTTGTTGTTGTTGTGTTATTCTTGTTGTCGATGATGATGATGATGTTGTTGTTGTGTTGTTGATGATGTTAATGATGATGTTGTTGTTATTGATAATGATATTGCTGTTGTTATTATTTATGATGATGATGATGCTGCTGCTGATGATGATGATGATGATGATGATGTTACATTTAAAGAAAAGAAGTATAGATAATTTTCATGAAGGCTCCTTTTTAAAACATTTCGTCTATAAGATAAAATTAAAATTCATTAAAATAAATTTAATTGGCACATTTATTTTACATTATGTAATTTCCCGACTTAGCGCCTTTGAGTGTTTTATATCACTTTTATGAATATTTGTCTCTATATTAAAATGTAAATTTGTAGAGCTGTTTTAATAATAACCATTTGTTTGTATTGAACATAAAACTTTATTGAATTTTCATGAAAATTCGATCATTCAAAATACTTTAGAAGGAGATTTGTTATAACTACATGTGCTATTTATGGAATGTTAAAATAAATTATACATAAAATTAGTTTGAACATATTTATTTTAGCTATAATGTAAAACAAGTCTTTACAACTTATATTAATTTAATCACTTTCGAGTCCCTTCCTAGAAGTAACCAGTACTGGTGTGAGGAAACATGATCATGACCAGAGTAGGGCTCGAACCCATGACCATTGAGTTGAGAGGAAGTTACCTTAACCACTAGGACACCGCACCCCTTATACATATATAATGTCTAGTTTTCAGAATAACTTGACGGGCCAGCTGTATGGTTGCTATAGGTACTGATGTTTTAATGAACTTGTAATATAATTTAATATACAGAACTCCCTAACTTGCTTGTGCTAAAGACTTCATTTTCTTTAAAATGTAGACCTACACTGTATTTTAAAATGGGTCCTAAAGGCCAGCTTTTACTATGCAGATTTCTTTTTTCTACTATGGGGGCCCATTAGGTCCCCGTTCGATGGTTGGGGGAATTTTAAACATAAGCCACAGCCGATAATTTGTGAATCCATGCTTAAAAAAATCAAATGTTACAAAAATGTTGGTTTAAATAGAGCAGGACTTATTGGAAAATCAAAATCGTGCGCACGTGCAGTTATCAACCTTTATCGTGCCCAGCACCACGGATGCTTTGCTCTAAAGGTGTGTGTTATCCGGTGTTCCAGTCATGCGCTTAATCTTAGAAAATTTGAGGAAGGAAGTTCTATTTTCTGATGATTTAGATAATTTCTACCATTTTTTTCTAAAATGAAAACCGGAGTTTGATCCGTCTTGTTTCTACTAACATAACGTTCGCTTATTTTCCTTAACTCCAGACTTTATTTTTGAAAAAAGACTTAAGTACACAATTGTAATACCTTTTTCTCTGAAAACAGCGTGCATGTTGATAAAAATGTTTTATTTTATGTATCAAAGTAATTCTTACCTTTCAAGTTTGTTTAAAATAAAATTCGTTTTGACAACTGATATCTCCTAGAAAATGACAGTGATAAACATTGTACAACGTTTATTCATTATTACTTTTGTCCGGTGCTGCAGGTGTAAGCCTCGTGTTACAGGTGTGCGCCTTATTTTAAGTACGTTAGATAAAAATGTTTGCAATTAGCTTTTTCCATTTTTAAGAACAAAGTCGAAATGTTCTCTAAAAGCAGGTGAAAACAAATCATTTCACGTTACCACCATGTCGGCCAAAAAGTGTAGAACTATATTAAATTGTAGCTTTTTATTAGATCTGTTATTGAAGGTCCATGTACTCCTAAAGATACTACTGAATAGATGTCACAAAAATATAGAGAAAACAAAATCACCCCCAAAAAAGTCTAAAACGGCAATAATGAAAACGTTGCATGCTCTGATTGAGTCTGTGGTTACTGCAAGCTACCTATCATTCCTACAAGTTTAATTTGATCAAATTAGAAAACGACTGTAACATTTTATCAATCTGTACTCTGTGTTAAGCGACCCAAGTTGAAGTTTTTGCACTTTAGTCTCTCAAAATTTCATTTTATTGAGCGGGAAAATAAATACAAAAACTATAGAAAAATGATATTCATAAATTGCGGGAACACCAACAAATAACAACACCTACCCAGAATGTTCAAAGATTGATAAAAGCGTAATGATAGCAGCAATATTGCTAACCTGATTTCGGAAGGGAAGCACCAATATGTCAAAGTTGTGTGTTGGGTTAGCGATGAGTAGTCGTGTATGGATAACAAAAGCATGGCATACAAGTATATCTTCGAAAATGTACAAATACATTGTTTTCATATTCTGGAGGAATGTTTTGGTAAAAGGTATAGTATGTTAAAAGAAGACAACAAAATAGTCTCCTGTGCTATTCTAGGTATTTTTTATTGATGATTTTGCGTGTATGTTACCCGCTTTATCAGAAATACAAAACACTTTACTTTCAATTTACGTTCTTTGGTATAATTTTCACCAAACCAGTTTCAATCAGTCTAGAATAGATTTATACTACTTAAACCTAGTTATTTAAGTTCGATCATAGCTTACGTTGTTGAGCCACTGTCAAGTCCATTTCCGGCAACTTTTCAGTACAAGTGATTTAGTACATGAAGTGTAAGATTCGAACCCACGGTCCCTGGATTGAGAGGCGCTCAAACTGGACTAGCTAAGCTGCTGTCACATTCTAAGTCTAGTTAAAAAATAAAACTAAATGAGGAATAGAGTTAAACACGAATAGATTCAACTGACAATACATGTATTTGTTTGTCATTGAAACATGCACTGAATCAATAAAAAATATATTAAATTTCATCTAGAATCAATAGTTTGGTAATTTAAACGACGAGGAGCTAGCTATTGAAAATCTTTTTTCAAGGCTACAAAAAAGCTCTCATATTCAAGTTGATCAAAATGCTTAAAAGCTAAAGAAGACAGAATTTAATTCAGAAACTATCATGTTTTCAGATCAATTACTCTCTGACGCTGGTAAAATTGTGTTTAATTTTGACAGAAATGTTTAAAAAGCAAATAAAATATTAAAATTAATGTTTACCACTCTTTCCCATTAAAGAAAGTCAAGTATTTTTTCTCTCTTTTAAAATATCTTCAGCACTTAAAAAGTGAATATGAAAAACAGGACTTAATGGGGGTTATTAAATTGGTTTAAACACCGGGTTTATATTTACGCAACCACTAGTGTACACACACAAAAATATTAAACTCTTTATTCGGATAGCTTCGTGCATTTAAAACGACAAAACAATATCTCAATGGATTAAGAAGAATTAGATGGAATTTAATATTATTATTGCAAAGTGTATTAGGTCAGAAAGTATACAGTAATTCAGGCTTAGATTTATCACAATTGATTTTGAATCATAATTTTTATATACATTGCTAGAGTGGTTTTATTTTGAACAAATGTTTAATAGATACTGTTTAGATTTGGATCGATAAATATTTCAGATCTTTCAATGCGATTAATGGATCTATGTTTATAACAAGGTGGGTCCGTTATTAATATTAATTTTTATAATTGAAGTTTGCTTCTTCTAATGTTTTTATACTCTGTTAAAATTAGTGTTTTTAAATTCTTATAAATTTAGTTTTATATATTCTTACCAATTTAGTATAACAAAAATGTGAGATTTTTGATTATATTCATATGAAAGTCTTAAATTGTTACAATTCAATATATTTCCATTAAATGAAGGATATTTTATAACCTGATATATGATCTTTTTAATGAATACACGCTTGATATTTCATTATTTAGCTAACTTAAAATGTTTTCAAAAGCAAATTTCAGAATTAATGTTCGGGAAATTTTAATATTGAAAAGTTACAATCGTTGCTTTAATTATATGCCCTTTTCGACATCTCAATGATAAACTTGGTCGTATCATGGCAAAACTCAGTAATTTACTTTCAGAAGATGCTTGTCTTATTATTGATATACTGTTTGTTTCTATGCCAGAATGATCCCAATGAAATTATATAACTACTAGTGTACACTACATGCATATACATGTACTAGAAAATCATATCATATAGTCTTTGGTCAATTTTGTACCTAATTTTTTTGTACATGTTCTGAAACTGAAATGTATATGTGCCGGACATCTTTATCCATTACTTGAATACATCAAAGTTAAATGTACATGCGTAAATTCATTTGTTTCAACTGTTGGTTGCCATAGTGATGAAAATGATATACCACACATTCTGATATGTTATATAATGCATATGTGTATAAAAAGTATGTATATAGGATAGCCGGCTGCCTCTTTCAAGTCTCTTAGTGTGGCTTTTTCAATTCAAAGGTTGAAACAGCTCTACGTGTCGTTGGTTCAAGTCGAAGGCTGGTTAAGAATGTACAGTTTTTCATGTAATTATAATGTGCGGGTACTTTTCCCTTTGTGATGGCAACTCCTTACATATGATAATAATTGGCAAATAATCGGCGATTAATGTTTTCTTTCATTGGATCATCTTATATTTGATTTGTCATACATTGACTCTTTTCATTTCATACAATTTGTCAAGTTAATCAATTTGTCAAGGGACTTCACTGAGGCCTAAAACATAACATTTGAATTTCTTAAATAAATGAGCTGGGCACTCTAAAACAGAAATATATGCAAAGATAGTTAAGAAATATACTTTGAAATAAATTGAAAATCGTATTTTTATGCTTTTCTTTGCCCGATTTGAGTGAAAAGCGTTTAAACGCTTTTCATTTTAGATCATTTTTTACAATTTGTATAATTATTCTGGAAAAACTGAATGCGCGAAAGATCTGAAATTTTGCACAAAGATTAGTGGTCTAAACCTTCATCAAATGGTACATTAATTTATCTGGAAAAAAATATTTTTAGTCCCATCATGTCAAAAAACTCATATAGATGTAACAAAAACATAAACATGTTTCCTTTCCTTTTAATTTTAGGGGCTGTACCGATAGACGTCGACATGTGTGTTGAATTTTGAAGAACCCCACTTCGTAAAAATAAAAAAATAAACCAAGATTTGCATTATCGTACAATAATAATTCATAACCATGGTTGAACCAATAGGATGGTCGAGCATGCGCAATTCGCTACATTACAAATCCGTGTTTCCTACCGTACCGGATGTAGGGATGCAAGTGACACTTCACAGAAATCTTGCAAAGCGACTTCAGCCAAAAGAGACAGTCTTAACGGTGAATCAATACAACATTGAAATGGCAAGAAGAATTTTACATCGACAACGTGTTGCGCTACGTCTTTATTCAGGAAGCAGATTAAATCTGAAGGGCTCAACAGCTCACGAGACCTCTGCAAGGCTTCATCGTCAGCCATTACGTCACTCCACGTGCCCGGATGGATTCTATAAAGACAATTCAGACGCTTTTTCAAATATGCGTTCCGAAGGATCAACGCTATTAACCGAGGCATCAGTTTATGGTACTGCGAGAGAGAGCATTACACGTGAAAGCACGTTACCAGTTTTGCCGGAGAGAGTTCGAGGCATGAGTACAATACCCGGAAGTGCGCGTTCTGATTTGTCCGATTCTCCTCGTTACGCGAACTGTGACCCGGAAAAGCTTCCAGATTCGCGCGGATACCTCGTAAAGCTAAAGAAACCAATTGTTTACAAAAAGAAATACACGGAAAAGGAAGTACAGAACATTGTCAATCGTTTGTCGGATTATGATCCAATCTCCCATCCGGCCGAATCAAAGGGCTACGTTAGACAAGGTCCTGCCGTGGTTTCTCAAGTACCGAGGCAAAGCATGACTCAAGTTAAAAAGTGCACGGCGGAAGAAGTGCAAGAGATTGTTGAACGTCTCTATTCTTTTGACAATTCAAGATTTCCGGCGGAATCTAAATCAAGACCTGTAGTGTATTCTGGAAGACCAAGGGTTGTTAAGACGGCGCCAGCTGAAGTAGCACGGCAAATTGCTACAGCTCCGCTTCCACCAACGCATCCCTCTCCTGTTTTAGAAACGGACGAAGAGAGTAAAGAAGATATTCATGCACCGTCAGAGGTGGCCCCCGTATCACAGACTTCTATTCCCGACGCTCCTATTTCCGAAGGACAAAATTCAACTTCACAGTTGAAATAGAGGTCAATGGAAACGTTTACTACATGTAATTGAGTTGGAATTCTAAAAAGTATTCTTAAGAGCTTCACAAAATATCTTATTCCAAGGAATTTTCACCAACCCATTTCTTCATGGATATGCTGTATAGGACAAAGGTCCTATTTTGTTTATATCTATTATCAAACGTGTCATAAAGTTTTCATTTTCCTTTTTTATGCTTTTCTTCAAATTCCTGTTCTATGAAAAATAAAAAATATATTCTTTGGGCTATATTAAATAAATAAGTTTCTTCCCCAGATTGGTTCCGTTTCACCTCTGATTGTTGGTTTTCGTTTTAAAAATTCTCAGAACCCGTCTATTTTAACTCTCCTCTGGTGTCTTCAATTTTAGATTAGTCTGGAGTTCTTTCCCTTAAACTGTTGTAAATGTTAACAGGAATTCTACAAAGACTTTCTTTGTTTGGAAAGATAAAAAGGCATTCAAAAAATAATCGGATTTTAATGCAATTAAGAGGCGCGGGGAATAATTTTAATCGTGAAAAAGACTTTAACACGGTTTTTCTTGATCATTCCTTTTCAATAGTGAACCATTCTCTTTTTTCGTGATAAAGAGAAACTCAGAAAGGCATACTGTTTCTTTTTGTAAAATATATCGTGACATACACAGATGTTTTCTCTTGATAATATTTTTTTAATTTTGACTAAGAAAGGTGCGATGTCTCTTTTGTATCGTGATAAAGAGAACGGCAAAATGTTTCTTTTCATCATTTTTATCATATTAAGAGAAAGGCATATCACTTCTCGCTGTCATTTTTATCGTTTATAAAGAGAAAGGCATACTGTTTCAAGGCATACTGTTTCCCTTTATCATTTTTATAGCGAAAAAGAGAAAGGCATACAGTTTCTCTTTGTCATTTTTATCGCGATAAAGAGAAAGGCATACAATTTCTCTTTGTCATTTTTATCGTGATAAAGAGAAAGGCATACAATTTCTCTGTGTCATCATTTTTATCGTGATAAAGAGAAAGGCATACAACTTCTCTTTGTCATTTTTAGCGCGATAAAGAGAAAGGCATACAATTTCTCTTTGTCATTTTGTCGGGATAAAAGAGAAAGGCATACAGTTTCTCATTGTCATTTTTCTCGCAATAAAGAGAAAGGCATACAGTTTCTCTTTGTCATTTTTAGCGCGATAAAAGAGAAAGGCATACTGTTTCTCATTGTCATTTTTATTGTGGTAAGGAGAAAGTCATACTGTTTCTCTTTGTCGTTTTTATTGTGATTAGGAGCAATATTTCCTTTTTTTACTTTTTCGTGATAAAGAGAAAGTGTTAGGGGTCCTTAAGTAATGTAATGGTGTAAACATTATTTGCAAACATTAATTCTGTTTCTCTTTTCTTTTCTTTTAAAAAGAGAAACGTTCAATGAATTATTTTTATCACTGTATGCATCATAATAAATGATTAGTTAACATTTTCCTGAAATTTCGCTTTGTTTCTGAATAAAAATAATGCGGTTTATGCCGATATTTCTTTTTTTTCACGAGACATATTTTTAAATAAAAAGAAGTTTCGGCCACTTTTTAGTACAGTCTTTGATTATTGCATGAGAAGTGAAAGGAGATCCTTTTTTGCATTTTCGTAATTGCTCTTTTCTTTCTCTTTATGCGTTTGAAACAGCAAAAAAAAAAACCCCAAAGATTTTCTTCTACCTTTTTATACCGCAGTTCAAAATAATAAGGGATACAAATCAAACATTTTTTCTTTATTTGTTTTAAAATAAAGAGATGTACCAAACAGTAATGTTACTTTTTTCGACTACTCTGTACAGCGGCCAGCTATATATATCTTATTTCGCTTTTCTAAAAGAAAAGTTTGATCTGATATTTCTCTTTAAAGACGATTCTATTTGTTTTTGAATCAAGATTATAATGTTTGGTGTCGATCGTTTTAGTGAAAAGAGATACTTATAATAATACTCGTATACTTACACCAGAGCTAATCATAGTTGCCTGATGTTATATTTTTCGGAAAGGGTCTGAACAAATTTTTGTCCCATTTTGCCTTTTAATCGAAATTAGAGGCAAGGTGCTTTTTGGCAATTGCCATTTAGGTATATTAATAGTGATTAAGTATTTTGTATTGAAGTAAAATTCTGTTGTTTTTTTTACATTTTATTGATTTTAAGACACATTATTTTACTTTAAGCGCTATTTATTCAGATAAAAAACACCTTACATGCTCTAAAACCATTGTGTATACGTTACAGTAATGTTTGACCTTTCTAAAACACTGAATATTTCTTCATTTCTTAGGCAAAAATGTGCCTTTTATATTTGTCTTTTCTGATCACAAATATGAAAGAATCATTTCCTTATCAACATATCATGTTTTATTTATAATAGATTCACTGGCAACTATTTATGAATGATAACATACACGTGTTTTTATATTGTTGTTACCATTGCAATATGCTTTCATTTGAAATACATTGTATTTTTTGCATTGTAACTACTTTTTTCTCATTTTTAGCTTCATTTCTTTTATACTCACACATTATATTTTAACTGATATATCCAATAGACAAGACATTTAAAGACTTTGAACTCTGCGTCAAGTCATTTTAAATAACAAAAGGGAACGCTGGCTAAACGGTAAAAATGTCCACCTTATAACAGCGCGAACCATGGTTTCGAACATTACTGGTGTCACAACCATGTCTTCTGACACGAGATCAGTACTGGTTCAGGAATCAGGCTCGGAGATAACAACAAAGAACAAAAACTTTAAGTTAGTGGTATGTACTTGCATCACCATCGAGCTTCAAATATACATGCACTATAAAACATGTTTAGTGAGAAATTTTTCAATTGTTTTTTTTTTTACTTTTAATAGCGTTATTATAAAAATAACGCATGTCTTTCAGAATAATATAGTGCATGACTCAAAATAGCATCGGAGGCTGGTTGCTTATATGCATTACTACCCAGAGAGACATGTGCTATTTTTTAGCATACCGAACGGCATTTTTAACCCTATGCGTTATAGTCACTCAGAGAGCCATTCATCATTGATTTTTTTATATATCAGGGGAGACAACTAGAACATTACGTTTTTTAAGTCTTTACAGATTACTCGCCCTTGAGAAATATTGCAGACAGGCGATATTCATTCATTCCAAGGAAAATATATCGAAATAACGCCATATGACGTCACAATAGGGTATATAGTAAAAAAATTACGTGATGTATAATAAATACACATGGTAAGCATATAATTCAAACTGAGTTTTTTATAATTGCACTTTTATTATTTCAATTTAAAAATATTTTAACAATCAATACAATTTCTAGCAAATCAACATGATTAAAATCTAGTTTATAAATACTGTATAAATTTAATAACACAAAATACAAGAAAACATATCAAATATTGGCACACATTGATTATAGAGTAATTGACATTTACAGGGAGATAACTCCATGATACTGCATGCCCTCAAGATGAGCCAAAATATTTCAAGAAAATCAAACTTGAAAAAAATGTACTCAAATTTAAGAAAAGTAAAAAAGATCCAAGATTCAAGTTATAATTAATATGTAATGTGTGAATAATGACTAATTTTGCAGTTTTTATCACCATATTTCTACTGCATGACTAACACAGGATTATTTTGGAATATTTAGACCTCTTTTTGGTAATTTACATAGATTTTTGTGTTCTTTGCAATGTCTATGTTACTTTTTTTTCGCTTCACAATAATTTACTTTTAAACCCATTTCCAATGTTTTGATGAAATTAGCATGAATTTGGAGGCATACTGCTTTAATGTTACCTTATCAAGATTAAAACTTTCATATGCTTGGCAATTTCTATCATTACTAGCATAACCCTCTTAACCGTAAGACATAGCATCCAGTTTTAATTTAAACGTCACCATTACTGAGGTCTGCTCACTGCTCATGAATTTTTATATTTATAAAATAATTTTGAAAACAAAGAGCATTATTGGTCATATATTGTCACCCTAATGCAGTAATGAATTAATTCTTATTGAATTTCAAATGAGTTAACCTGTTAATGCACTAAGGTGCAAAATAAAATGACAATTAAATACTGGTCATAAATTAAGTGACAATTAAAATCTAATTAAATAATGTATTTCTATGTTTTGAAGCTCAAAGAAGAGATTAACAGTTAAATAATTTACTGTAGATTACTGGCCTTTTTTGCCAACCCGTATAATTCTGCTAGCAGGTGCATATGATGTCATCAGTCATATTCGGTAACCCAGGCTATTTACTGTATAGCAGTATTTAATGTTGTATATACAGAATGTGTACCGTGGGTTCAGACGATGGTTTGACACATAAACTATGTAAACCAAACCATTTTGTAGAAACCAGGCTTTTATCACAGAACAATGCATAATATTCAAGAATACATGTACCTTCAAAAAAATTTGATAAAAATAGTTAAAACTGCAATGATTTTTACCCTGTCCAGATAACTACAACTGGTTTAATGTTACAATAATTAAAAAAACATCATCACCTTAATGCAGTAACAGGTTAAGTCCTTCGTAATTTTATAGGAGTTAACCAGTTATTGCACTAAGGTGATGACATATGAATTATGGCATCACTTATTTACAATATACAATGCATGTATCGACTAAAATCAGAGCTTAAATTACAAACACATTGCATATATCAAAGTATTGACAGAGTTGAACAGAAAACTGTGTTAAATTTGCAACATCAAATGTACATTGTGCAAAAACTGTGTTAAATTTGCAACATCAAAATGTACATTGTGCTATTGGCAACACCAAATGTACACTGATAAAATGGCAAAATCATATGTTCACTCTGAAATCGGCAACATCATATGAACAATGATTAATTAATTCTTTATTTATATTGGTTGAGTTTTACGTCACACCAACAATGTACATGTATAGATTAAATGGCGGCTTCCCAAATTTACTGATGAAAGAAGACCTTATTGCCCCTCTGTACATTATATCAGCCACAAACAGGCATCTGAGTAGAACCATCGACGTCCTGTAAGCTAGCTGGATAGCTTTCTCACATATTGAATCTGATAATGCTTGCAGTGGTGAGAGGCAGGTGATTTGAAATGAACCAACTTAACAACTTGGCCACTGACGCCTACTTTGCATGATAAATTGGCAACATCAAATGAACATTGATAAACTGGCAATATCTCAGATAAACCTGATATAAATGAGACACCTCTCAGGTTCACAGAGAAACACCTCTCATATACATAGAAATTCCTCTCAGATACACTGAAATACCTCTTAGACGAACAGAAAAACCTCTCCCATACACAGAATATTTCTCATATTCACAGAAATACCTCTCATATACACACAGAAATACCTCTCATATACACACAGAAATACCTCTCATGTACACAGAAATACTTCTCGTACAACTCCGATACACAGAAATAACTGAGATGCACAGAAATACCTCTTGGACACACAGAAATAACTCAAACACACAGAAATACCTCTCACAGACACAGAAATACCTCTTATGTACACAAAAAACTCTCTCAGATTATGATGCACAGAAATACCTCTCAGGTACACAGTAATACCTCTCAGATACACAGAGATACCTCTCAAATACACAGAAATACCTCTCAGATACACAGAAATACATCTCAGATACACTGAGATACCTCTCAAATACACAGAAATACCTCTCAGATACACAGAAAACACCTCTCACATACACGGAAATACCTCTTAGATACACAGAAATACATCTCGGGTACACCATCTCAGAAATGTAACATAAATCTCTGTCATTACCAATAGAATTTACCAAAATAGGTAAATGAAATGAAAGCAACAAGTTAAAACATTTTTCCATTCAACTTCAAACATGTCTATAAATAGTATCAATGATCTTTGCTCTCATCATGTGACCAGACTGGTTTTCTTTTCTCTATAAATGCTCGTATTCCTTCCTGCCCGTCGGTGTAGGATAAATTCTCAACCATCACTTGTTCTGTTAAACTGAAGATAAAAAATGTATCTGATCTAAAACATTTTTTGGAACTTTAACCTAAGATTACATATTTAAGGGTGATAAGACCGTGATCACTGACACGAAAACTGAACTAACATATGTATGTTTAATTGGGTTTTACATCACACCGACACAGTATAGGTCATAAAGCGACATTCCAGCTCTACTGGTGAAAGAAGACCTCAGATGCCCTTCAGTGGATTATTTCAGGAACAAACTGGCACCTGAGTAGAACCACTGATGTTCTGTAAGCTAGCAGGATAGCTTCCTCACATGAAAGAATCCAAAGTCCCTGTCGGGATTTGAACCCACAGCGATGAGGGGCAAGTGGTTTGAAGTCAACGATCTTAACCACTCGACCAGGGACGCCCCCTTATCTTACGTGCATACCATTAGAAGTAAATTGTGTAATTGTTTAGTTTAAACAATATTTATTAATAACATTTATTATATTAATCTATACATTTACATAACAAGGTACATGAAATAAAATTTACAGATTGAGTAGGAAGCTTGTTCAGCTTTTTTGAAACTCTCTCCTTAATCAGCATTTAACAAATTTAATATAAATAGTAACAAAATATTCATTATATAAACTAAACTATACCCATCATATCGACTTGTGCTTGCTTTCTTACATATACATACTACTTTCAAAATAAGTAATTGTTTCGTTTTGTTAGTACAAAAGTTTTGATAGTTTTTTGTTTTGCGTCCGTCTGCCTTATCGGCTTCCCTGGCTAAGTTGTCAGCAATTAACAATTTTTTACAATATTACCACATGATTTTTGAATAAGCTGTAAGAGACAAATGATCATTACACTTGATGTCTCCCGAAATCAATTGTCATGGAGAAATTCTACTTGATTCTCATGATGAACATACATAAACAAGAGCTACTGCTAAATCAATCATTGAGACATAAAAATTATGACCAATGTTAAAGTTTTCGGAAGACAACGTCAACATGACTGTATCATGACTGTAACAACAGCTTTTGTATTTCTTCGAAAAAGTCGATCTTAACTTTATTCATATCTATAATACACCGTTAAAAGTAAAGGATAAAAAAAAGCAGGTTCAAAAAGATTTATACTTGTATGCTTGTTTCCTGTCAAGAGCAATTTGACGATAAAAAGTTCTTTTCCCTAGTGCAACCACAGATTTACTCGTCTCGCAAATTTTCCTGGCAATTTTCATTGTCTGAAACAGATTACATCACAATGTCCATACCTGATGATAAGTTATTATACAATCAAATGCTTGAAATTATTCAGATATTCAACATGTAAACACTTCTTTGTCTATAAACAGCAACCATTACCAATTAAATAACCAATTTTGACCAAAATTGTAAATTAAAAAGGGACATAACTTCAAAAAACATAGATTTCAGAATTATGCCCCTTGTCTCAAAACTGAAATTTGTCATGGTAAGCAAGTATTTGGTACCTTTTAAAATAATGGGCTACATTAAAATTTTTGCATGACTTTTTCTTCAAAACAGAAGAGCTTAAAAAACAAATATAATTAAATGTTGTTATAAAAACAAGGCATCTAAGTAAATTAACTATTTACATAGCTTGCTTAATGGAATTCTAACATGAAAGAATCTGAAGTTCCCAAAGAATAGTTGGTTAACTTGATCATGTGGCTACAGAAGCCCTATTTTTATTACAATATAAATTCATTTAATTCATGGGGACTTCAGACTGAAAAAGTCTGTAGGAACACTTACTGTATCTTCCAGTTGGTCATTGGGCACAACTCGACTGATAAGTCCATGCTGTAAGGCTTCTGTAATAAAACAACACATGTATAAAAATCAAACAATCTCTTATAAAAACAAGAGCTGTCAATAGGGCAGCATGCTCAACTATTCTTTGTGCTAGATAGTAAAACAAGAGACTGGATAATGGAGAATTTCCTTATTTTAAAAAGGGCCATAATTCTGTCAAAATCCACGTTAATAGTTATTGGCCTTGGACAGTCACTTCTTATTATGCTTTGTAATAAGTGTATGAAGTTTCTACCTATTCCCTTCAGTGGTTTTGGGGATATCATTTTGCACACAAAAGCTTAACAAAAGTGCAAAAGCAACGCAAAAGCCTTGGTGAGTCCCTATTCTTCAAAGAATCAAGCTAAAAACAAGTAAAGTTATATGTTAGTTAGTGAGCCTCTGGTAATAAAATTACCCTTGAACTATACTACATAAATCTAAATCATCAAAATTGAGAGTAAAAGAGAGAGCAATGTTTAGAAAAAAGGGGCATTACAGCAGTACTGTACCTTGTCATGGTAATCAATAAATCAATACATTATAATTTTTGCATGACGACAACAATGATGCAGTGACCATAATGATAGCTATTTTTTGTTTTTGAAACATATGACTCAAAAGCTAAAGAAGTCTTTAACAACCCGCAGCACTTAATTAAAGAATCCAAAGGGAAGAGAGAATTCAGTAATACAGGTTATTCTCTAGCACTTCACTTTAAACATCTAAATTAGAAATGAGACAAACCTTGAGCAGTGATTGGCTCTCCTGTAAACAACATCTCCATGGCAACCTTCCTAGGTACTGACCTACCGACAGCAACTGCTGGTGTCGAGCAAAACAAACCAACATTCACCCTACAAAACATACTTTACAACTTTGTTATCAAATTTATTGTAATTATCACAAATGATAGATAACAAGAGCTGTCAGGAGGGGACAGCATGTTCAACAATTCTCGGTGCTTGAGAGTAAAACAAGGGCCTGGAAAACGTAGAATTTTCTAAGTTCAAAAAGGGCCATAATTCTGTCAAAATCCTGTTAAGAGTTATATGCCTTGGAAAAGGACCACCTATTATGCTCATAAAATAAGTGTTTGAAGTTTCAACCTATACCTTTCAAAAGTTTGAATGAAAGAGTTTAAGAAGCTAAAAATACACAAGTTTGTAGTTTATATTAGTATATCAGATTATAAATACATTACCCTGGTGTAGCGAACCCTGATTTCTCTGTTGCTATGGCAATATCACAACTAGCTACCAACTGACATCCGGCAGCAGTGGCTAGACCTGTAGACATAAAGACACAAAATAAATATACGGTAAATTAATCATTTTTTATAGAATCTTTCTGTCATACATGAACCACTAACTTATCATTTGTATTTTACAAATACATGTATGGCACATAGCTTTTAACTGTATGGCACATGGCTGTTAACTATAATTTATGGTAGATAACTGTTATCTGAAAAATAACTGCATGACTTACAAATAAATTTAAGTATACCTGAGACAGAAGCTATAACGGGGACAGGAAGATCTTGAAGTGATGACATCATAGATGTACATGTAGAAAACACCTGAGCATGGTATTCTCTCCCTTCTTTACTTGTCTGAAATTAAAACACCATCCCAGTCCATTATACAATAACATGCACAATCTTAGACACTGACACAAATATCAACACTAAACAGTTTAAAAACTCCATGCAAAAGTTTATACTGAACATATAACTGTCCCATTAGCTCAATTGGTAGAACATTGGATGCTGAATTGGGCAACCTGGATGGGGCAGGTCAATTTTGTTGTGATTGATAATGAAATCCTTCCTACTGTCATTTGCACTGTACCTCTGCTCTGGCATGTACAGAAGTTATCAGTTCCTTGCGAAAAAAAAAGCTACTAGTACTAATCAACAGCTTGCACAGGAACGATGTGGTGGCTTAACTGTGCTCTGGTAAATTAAAAATGGCTTACTACAGTGATCCAGAGGGTACCCAAAACCAACCAAATACTAAGCATATTCAATGTGGCAGTTGTCCAACTATATAGATTTTTGAAGCACTAAGGTAATGATTTGTATTACATCAAATAAACTCTAACTTACTAAACTAACAGCAAAATGGGTATCAAATGGAGTAAGACAAAAATTATGTATTTTCTGAAGTGTAATTTCTTGAAATACATTTATTTTGGCTCATCATGTAGCTTTAAATAATTTATGTTATAACAAAAAAAATATTTAGTTACCAATTCCTTTAAGTCATGTCCTGCTGAGAATACTGGTCCATTGTGTGTGAGAATGATGACCCTTAAATCTTCTGTATCTTTATACAAGTTTTCCTGTATCTCCTTTAACATTCCTAATGACAAGGCATTCCTACAAAAACAAACAAACAAATGATTTGTTCCAGACAAACACTTTGTAAATTTTCACGTAACGATGTTTTCCAGCTTACATATGGATAGCTTTGGTTCTACTTTAACTTGGGTACCAACACATGCCTGAAATAATGGATAGCAAAGATCTTTCTACATACAATGTAAGTAAAGCTGGAGTGCCAATACGTATTTGACCATAACAGTGTCTTTGTCACTCAAAACTAAGCAAATAAATAGGTTTTTTCTTAACTTCAGCAACAGTTACTGTAATAATAATTTTTACCTCTTTTTCACATCATTCAACACGATTGTCCTTATGCCGTCAACTTCTTTAGTAATTGTGTACTGTTTTGTTTCCTGGGATTTCAATGCCATACATGTAGAAAATCTTTTCACAGAAACATTGGACTGTTGTTTTAGAAGCTGTTTAGAAAACAAATACATGTACAAAGTTAAAAAAGTTAAATTTGGTTGAGCATTTCACTTTAAAAAATACTTTCAATAAAACAATGTGATTTCAATTGTTATAGTTTATCTGTTATAAGTGAAAAAAATGCAGTTATCTATAACTGATTTGATACTCTGATATACTTAACACAATGATATGAAAGCCTCAGAAATGCCTATAATACTATGTACGATTAAAAAACGATGTTACAACAATATGTACTTAAGAGTAATTAAACATTACCCGAAATTCACTATCCGAAATCATGCAAATTGTAAGGAATTTATAGTTACATTCATTAGTTTTTTAATGTCATCAATTGGTGACGTTTGATACTTACTCTGCATACTCTTGTTATGAAATGCGCTGCCATTTTGTTTCCAGGAAATTCTTTAATTACTCATAAAATGCGATTGTGTAAATGTTTTGTAGAGTACTGGCTAAAACCTGTTTATTTCCCGTCTGATTTCCCGTTCTGTTGCAGGAGTCTAAATGAAAGTAACCGTTTTCCGTACATTAATACCATTGATTAAATAACGAAAATGTAAAATTCTATCCAATACCATTGAGCTAAAAATACTATTGTGTCAATACATATTGAAGAATTATATTGAGCGTTTCGGTCTTCATAGAAAAACAACAGCAACAGCAACAACAACTAAAACAACATATAAAATAATCAATTTGTCACATTCTATCTCTTATCATTCATAAAATCAACCGCCCCACCCTTCCCCACATAAAAGATTAAAGTAACTATGTTCCAAAAAGTACTGTAATTAAATATAATTTTCCTTATTCTTAAGAGATATTCTGCCCTCGAAGTCCAGCACAGATAATAGAGCTGTGACATATGAATTCCAGGAGTACATAGTTCAGACCCTGCATTTCAGACCAATACAATCACCTTAAAATATATTGGCAATCTGAGACATAATGTCCCGGATTGCAATAATCATTGGAATTTTCAAATTCTAAGTGCTCAAGGTGGCACGTACAAAACATATATTCACAAGGGATAAAATTTTCCTCACGCCTTATTAAATTGTAACTCATGACACAGACATATCTGGATATGTTATCTAAAGTGACATTATGCTCATTTTTTCATTGTCAAGCTGGATTGAATTGACTATACATTTTAAAAATGTTTGTTATAATAGTGATTGACCAATAGCTCATATTTGAAACTGTTTATGAAAAATATAAATATGCCTAAAATATATAAAAGAAAAATATTAACGCAATTTCATTTTCATCTTTTCGTGGATCGACATAATGTCACTTTAAATATCTAATCTAAACTTGTCCGTAAATGTTGCCCGTAAAATTGTTGTTCTCTGAACATTTATTTGTTTAATTTTACTTCAGGATAAATTAATTGAATGCGAGCAATCTGAAATTCACTCCCTAATCCAACTAAAATATTTTCATTATATGACGAATTGAACCCACGGTGTCGGGGTTGACTTAAATTGGAGCTATCTTAATCACTTTGCCACTGCCGCCCCTTTATTTGACAAGAGTTTCTCTCATCATTAGGTAAACGAGATAAAAAAAATCGTATAAAGAAGTTTCAAAATATAAGTATTTACTTTAAGAGTTGGTACTTATCTTTCCCGGTCTTAAACTTTCCCAGGATTGGACCAACGAATATAGATAAACTCTAGATATTACATTTATTGCCATTCTTATAACTCATTTTTTCTTTTAATGCCAATTTAACTTTGTAACACATTAAATTTTGTGATACTAAATAGAAATGCCTTCAATGGTAGCGCCAGTTGAAAAACCAACAAAATATATATCTTTTTTCCCCCAGTTAAATCAATTTTAAATTATATTTTCTAAGGTTGTCTATGTAGGTGAAATAAAACCAACGAAGATTTAAAAATATTCATGCCCTTATTGTACGCACTTTAGAAATGTAATGTGATATATACACTCTGACCTTTATAATACTAAAGTTATAAACTTTGCGCAACAATTTATCTATACAGCAAAATCACTTTTTCAATTTCACGGGTATATGAGTATATACATTGTAAATGAGAGTGATTTTTATCCTCGTCTGAATTTTAAAACTTGTTTATACCGTACCTAACCGACCGCGGTTGCTATTTACGTGGGTTTGATGGTTAATGCGAAAGTTATTTTATCATATATATACATTACCTACACTACAGTTACATCTTTTTCATTTGAAAGTTTATAATAAGTTTATCATTTAACCAATCTCAAATTTCGGATGTATATATATATATCGATGCGAGGTAAATTTTGTCTTATATTCTATTTTCACATTTTCATATTAATTCCAGGGTGTTTTTTTTATAAAATTATTTTGTTTTATAAATTGGGTTTAAATGAAATGTGTGCTTTCTTTTAACATAATTATTATGATTTGATTACATTTGTCTCCAATGTATGTAATATTGAGTATATCATTCCTTCAAACTCTTTTTATACGCCAGTTCTTAGCTAATCTAAGCAAATTCAAAACGACGAAAATGAGAATAAAATTTTGACCAAAAAAAAAAAATCCAGATGAAATGGATGCATGTATGGTTCAGTTCTTGAGTGATATATTCATAATTTAAACATAAAGAATCAGGTTTACAAACAAAAAAAGTTATATTTAAATGCTGACCATCTTGTAAGGATTATTACTTAAATTAGTTCATCCAAAGAGCTATGGACTGTTTAATGTTTTTCAGACACAGGCGTACGGCGCCATGCCAATAGTGGTCAAATTATCATAAAATAATCATCCCTTTATCATCAAGATCCAGCACCCGTTTACTTTATAAAATACATACAGTATATATTTAATATAGTAAATGTACGGAAGCATGGAGAGGACATAGTCGATTTATTTTAATAATCTGTGGGAACAACTTATTTGTCGAAATATTTTTTATTAATCTGTGGGAACAACATGTTTTGTGAGAAAAATCTTTTTTTATTCTGTGGGAACAACATATTTTGTGAGAAAAATCTTTTTTTATTCTGTGGGAACAACATATTTTGTGAGAAAAATCTTTTTTTATTCTGTGGGAACAACATATTTTGTGAGAAAAATCTTTTTTTATTCTGTGGGAACAACTTAATTTGAGTAAAAAAAAATTTTTATTCTGTGGGAACAACATATTTTGTGAGAAAAATCTTTTTTTATTCTGTGGGAACAACATATTTTGTGAGAAAAATCTTTTTTTATTCTGTGGGAACAACATATTTTGTGAGAAAAATCTTTTTTTATTCTGTGGGAACAACATATTTTGTGAGAAAAATCTTTTTTTATTCTGTGGGAACAACTTAATTTGAGTAAAAAAAAATTTTTATTCTGTGGGAACAACATATTTTGTGAGAAAAATCTTTTTTTATTCTGTGGGAACAACATATTTTGTGAGAAAAATCTTTTTTTATTCTGTGGGAACAACATATTTTGTGAGAAAAATCTTTTTTTATTCTGTGGGAACAACTTAATTTGAGTAAAAAAAAATTTTTATTCTGTGGGAACAACTTATTTTGTGAGAAAAATCTTTTTTTTACTCTGTGGGAACAAACTATTTTCTGCGATATTTTTTCAATATCTTGTTCCCTCAAGATAATAAGTTGTGCGAACAAATTAATTATGTTGTTCCCACAACATAATTCAACCAATCAAAATAGCGATTGCCACAAAGAGTGACTGCAAAGTTAAGTCCCTTTTTAAAAAGTCGCCATTTGCACACAATTCATACTTCAAACCCATTTCAAAATACTGTTTAATTAAAACATCTCTATCCATTTTTCTGACAACAAGATGCATGAATTTGATTGGTTGAATTATGTTGTGGGAACAACATAATTAATTTGTTCGCACAACTTATTATCTTGAGGGAACAAGATATTGAAAAAAATATAGCAGAAAATAGTTTGTTCCCACAGAATAAAAAAAAATTTCTCACAAAATAAGTTGTTCCCACAGATTAAAAAAAGATTTTTCTCACAAAATAAGTTGTTCCCACAGAATAAAAATTTTTTTTTACTCAAATTAAGTTGTTCCCACAGAATAAAAAAAGATTTTTCTCACAAAATATGTTGTTCCCACAGAATAAAAAAAGATTTTTCTCACAAAATATGTTGTTCCCACAGAATAAAAAAAGATTTTTCTCACAAAATATGTTGTTCCCACAGAATAAAAAAAGATTTTTCTCACAAAACATGTTGTTCCCACAGATTAATAAAAAATATTTCGACAAATAAGTTGTTCCCACAGATTATTAAAATAAATCGACTATGTCCTCTCCATGCTTCCGTATAAATGGGTGCTGGATAGTAATTTTGTTCTTGGTGATCAAGGGGTGATTATTTTATGATAATTTGACAATTATTGACATGGCAAATGTGCGGTACGACTGTGTCTACAAAAACAATGACACGATACCATCTATGATCCTACTACAGACAAAACTGTTTATTTGTATAGCTGAAAACGCTGCCAACCTTTTTTAAAGTAATATGTACAGATAGATTAATTTGGCCAATAACAAGTTGTTTACAAACACAACAGTTGTCTTATATCGTATGTGATTTAACTGCTTAATTGCTAAACGTTTACTGATCTAGATTTTGGACATGAGTAAGACCATAAGTAACCTTTTCCTGCGATAGTTGACAAGAAAATTGTAGTATTTGTATCCTGAGTTATCATATTATCTGAACGTTACAGAGCAGAAGCACTTATTTAACAATCAAAATTTGTAGTAGTATTGCTAAAATATGTTTTGAGTGCTTAGTTTTTTATATCATATTTTGCGTGTTTCATATGTTTTAATAAAACAACAAAATTGAAATATAATTATATAAACCGTATGTTGTGGAAGACGCAATGCATATTACACGTATAGTCAAACTTGTGTTTAAAGACCACCTATGAACAGAGCACACCATTTAAAAAAAAGCCATATTCAGAAAATCCTTCACTGATTAAAAGGTACAAAGTAACCTTTAAATAGAACACACTTGTATACAAAGGCCATGTTCGGTAAAGGCCAATTTGGATGACCTTTGTTTACAGGTTTGACTGTAATTTCTAAAATAATAAGTGTTAAATATTTTTTGGTTATCTATTTGACTTTTGTGCGCTTTTTCTGAATTTCTGCTGGATTTTGTCGATCTACCTTTTTAATAGTACAATTGATAGTGCCATACAATGTAGTTGACAATTTTTAAGATTAAATTATCTTCATATCTGACAAATCGGAATTTATTCATAAGAAAGAATAACATTTTGTAGCAGACGACAAGTTTGTAACGCTGACTAGATACGCACGAACAAATTATGACAAAAATAATAAAAAAATAACAAAAGGTGTACATATTTTGTGGTTTTCAGATTTATTTCACCACTTAAGCAAGTTATTGCAACATGTTGCTTAATTGCATATGAGAAAATATGTATGCATAATTATGTAGGCCTACTGAAAATCTTTCATTT